TGATTGAACTAAAAAGTAGGAAATAAATACTATACATCACAATAATGCAAGCGATCACTCTACTATAAGCTATCAAAAACGTGGGGCGCCGAAGTAAAAGTTATATTACTATTGATTAGATAATACTATTGACTTTTATTAGGGAGCTTATAGAGAGTCAACAGTATTAGAAACTGTAAGAAAATCACGGCGCCCCACGTTTTTGATCGCTTATAGTAGAGTGATCGCTTGCATTATTGTGATGTATAGTATTTATTTTCTACTTTTTAGTTCAATCAGAAAACGTGGGTTTTTTAAAACTTTTTTAATGATTATTATTTTCTACTTTTTAGTCTTTGTCTGATTGTTTGCATTAAAATCTTGCTATCGATTTTATCTTTTCACTTTTTTTTTGGGTAAACGAAGACAACTCGTAAAAAGACAACTCGTAAAAAACACGTTGTGTGAATACGTTAATGACTAGAACACATAGATTTGAACCCGTGTCGAGTGGGATAGCAATCGTGTGCCCAACCACTCGACCATATAGTCTCCCCCATACTGGCCACCAGTTGTTAGGTTATGGTTGTTTGTACACAAACACCGCGTGACAACTACTCAGTAAGCAAAAAGAGGGGGAGTGCCGAACCTTGTTTTCATCAAATTACAGTTACTGGGTAATGTCCCTTTTTCCCCACGTTTTTTGGTACAATTATATAGCGGTCTAAAATGATCAATAAAATGTTTCCATGGATTAATTTAGTAATAAAAACAATAGAATATTCAATTGTCATCCAAAACAAAGCTTCCCTGAAAATTTCAGCGCGCTAGCTAACTGGGAAGTGCCAGAAATTTCGATCGCAAGATTGGATTGGAAAGACAAACAAACACACAGAGAAAGCAAGTTAAAGAAAACGTGGGAATTAGCATTTGTTACATAGACCGGCACATAGACCGGCACTTGGAGACGGCACATGGACCGGCACATGAACCGGCCCATAAACCGGCACATAGACCGGCACATGGACCGGCACATAGACCGGCATATAGACCGGCACATAGACCGGCACATGGACCGGCACAATGACCGGCACATAGACCGGTACACAGACCGGCACATAGACCGGCACATAGACCGATACATGGACCGGCAAATAGACCGGCACATTGACCGGCACTGGACCGGCACTGGACCGGCACATTGACCGGCACATAGACCGGCACATAAACCGGCACATAGACCGGCACATAGACCGACATGAGGTACTCGTCAATCCACCCTAGACACAAGACCCGCGAGAGAAAATAAATTGTTGATGTTTGAGGGAAACTTCCCCCCAAGTCTGGTCGCTGCTGGGTAAACGCCGGCACACGAGCCGGCAGGGGCGGCTACCCACGTGCTCGCAATCGTGTAAATAAACCACGTAATGGGCCAAGGGAGATCAATCATACACTGTTAGTTTTCTCCCCTGGGCCAATTAAGTACGGATGATAATACAGGATAGAAGACTTGAGATACAGACCGCACAGAATGTGTCTAAATACTGGGGGTGGGTTACTGTTGGCTCAATTGTAGGCGAAGGGGTGTTGCTTTTTAGGGGTGGGGAGGGCAGTGATGGGTGGGTGAAGTTAGGGGTGGGTGTGTTCAGTGTTGGCGGTGGAGAGTGACAGGTAAGGTTGTGTGTGGGTGGGGGTGGGTGGGGGGTGGGTGGGTTATTATAGGTAGGGGTGTAGAGTGGTAGGGTTGTGAGTGTGTGTGTGAGTGGGGGGGGGGGGGTAGTACATATGGGGTGTGTGGAGCGTAAGGGGTAGGGTTGTGTGTGTGTGTGGGGGGGGGGGGGGGCGGTAGTACAGGTGGGCAGTGGCGTCGCTAGGTCGGGTGTCACCCGGTGCAACACTTCGTGTTGTCACCCCCCCCCCCTCCCCGATAAACAACAAATATATATATATATATATATATATATATATATATATATATATATATATATATATATATATATATATATATATATATATATATATATATATATATATATATATATATATATATATATATATATATATATATATATATATATATATATATATATACGTGTGAATCGGCCTATAATTTAAATATATGCCGCATACGCGTATATGTATGTGTAATCACTGCAGACTTAATAGTAACGATGTTTATCTATAGTTGTTAATAATACAGTTGGATGTAGCATTGTTTTCCCTACAGTTAGCTAATTTACGTCTTGGTGTCACCCCCACACCGTTGTACTAATTGTCTTTTTGTACTTAAAAGACTATTTAACTTTAATTAATTTTTAACGGAATTGGCAGAAAGAAAACGCTTTTTTCTTCTGTGAGTTAATAATTTTTTTTGCCTTAGTGTCACCCCCATAAACGGTGTCACCCGGTGCGGCCCGCACACCCCCCCCCCCGCCCGGGCCCCGCGGGTGTGGTGGGGGGTGTGGGAGCTAATGTTCTTGTCCCAGTTATCGTTCACCCTTGTATTCTACCCTGGTTTGACACAACAGCAACACGGTACTAAACACAAACTCACAAACTCCATCTATCGGTTTTCTAAACTATTTCAACCCTAGCCAGAAAACCATGTGAAGTGAACCATTATGCAAAACCAATAAAGGGAAGTCATTTAGTTTAGCTGGGTTTTTTTTTCAAAATAAAATGGGTGGTTTCCCTTGGAATGTCATTTAAAAATTATTTATTTTTTAAAATATTTTAACACTTGGTAGGAAAAACCAGTGGCAGTTTAAACATTTAGAAAATCAACTGTTTGCATAGTGTGTGCACTAATATAAAAAGTAAGTTAGTTAAGTCCGCTTGCGGAACTAGCGGCCCGTAGGGAAGGTGAAGTAGAATTAACCTGTTTCTGTGACCTCTGCTTATGAAGAGCTAATGCGGCCTTTACTTTCCCTGACATAAGTCAGGTACCCAATAGTGCTGGGTGGACTCAGGGACGTGCTACGACTCTAGTCAGGGACCCGACTCCGCAGTGTGTGGTTAGCAAACGGACTGTATACCCTTCGACCACACCGTCCCATTTAATAAAATATATATTATGTCATTTATTATTATTTATGTATTTTTTTCCCTAATACAGTAGGTCAGGGGTTCCCAAACTTTTTCAAGTGGCGACCCCCTCTTATAAAAAGTAAGTGACCCGCGACCCCCACAGATTTAAAAAGTCGAAATTAGTAAGGAAATTAATAAGCACTAAATACGATTTTCTAGAATTTTTTTTTTATTAATGCGATGAACGAATTACTTGCTATTAACTAACCTCAACATTTGCGGTTGAGTTGTTTTTTTTAACGCCAACCTAATGTCGTTATCAATATTTCATTAAGTTTTGTTGGGGATCGGCGTGGTCGAGTCGGTAAAGCTCATGGCTGTTAAACCGAAAAGTCTCGAGTTCGAACCCCCGTGACTCTTCAAACTACTTCGTTGTAGTTTGTGTATTGAATGGTCTTAATGGCGCATAACCAAAACATAACTAAAGCATAACCAAATAAAATTTAGATGGAAAATTTGTTTTTAATTGTATCAGTGTTGAAAATCTATTCTTGCAAAGATATTATGTAGAAACAAAACAAACTAAAACTCGAAAGGCAATCAATGTCACGTCTGGATATGAATGCTGCATACGACACCAAAATTGTGTGAGTAGGCTTTCATTAAACACGGTACGTGACGCGGAATCATTCATCCTGTAAGTCATCGGGAATGCTGGCAACATCAAGGGAAGCAGAGAATGGGTACGTGTCAATGCAGATTCTTCTTACAACTCAGGGAAATAACGCCGCAGTTCGTTGTCAAGAGATTCAAGATGCCCAGAAATCTTTTCTTTCAATTTTTTATTTATCTCACAGTCAGATTCATCTACCACACTGCAGGGTTTCTCAAAATTTCCAAGATTTAGTTTTCTTAGCCAATTTTGCAGATTTGATAAAAATGACCGGCGATTATCATGAAAAGAGATAAAATACGTTCAATTTCCCTAAAGCTTCATGTTAAGCTCATGTTGATGTTCGAATATATCTGCTAGGAATGATACTTTCTCCAACCATTCTTTGTCGTTAAAGTATATCAAAAAGTCTTGTGTGCGTAGCACTACCAAGAACTTGATTTCATCTTTCAATTTAAAACAAAATTCAAAACATTTCCTTTAGACAGCCAGCGTGGTGTAGAAAAGCAGAACCTCGCAGAGTTTCTTCCAGGCATCTCTCAAAGGGGGCTTGCCCCCCCCCCCCCTCCGTCCGAAAAAATTCTACCGCCCCCCCCCCCCCACCCCCCCCCCCCACCCGAACGAAATGAAATTTATATAATTTATATAGAAAATATATACTTTTAACATTGTCCGCCCCCCCCCCCAAGAAAGTCTGCCGCCCCCCCCCCGAAAATTTCAAGTGCCCCCCCCCCCCCGTAGATAAAAGTCTGGAAGAAACACTGGAACCTCGTGATCTTTATTCGTGTCTTGGCACTGTTCTTTAAACAGACGGGTGTTTAGGGCTCTAGATTTAATATAATTTACGACTTTTTAGTAAGAATAGTCTTGCTGGCGAGGGCATACCGGTGAATCATGCAATGGATTCCCCTTGGTTAGGGAGCTAAATCTTTACATTTATCTGAAAGCCCCATTTTGACCCAAACATAGATGGCGCACCATCCGTGCAAACCCCACAGTCGTTTTCCCATTTTCATCATCCAGATTCTCAAACATCGTATTTATTTTCTCCATGATATCTTCACAAAATAGCAACTCTTCTTTGCTACCATCTGAATGAATATATTTCACAAAGACAAGCAACTGCGAACACGAACTCACGTCTGTTGATTCATCAACTTGAAAATCAAACAATGGTAAAAGATTGATTTCATTTAAAATTTGTTCTTTAACATCCACGGACATATCTGCTATAAGCCGCTAAATAGTATTATTAGGCTGAGATATTTGTTGCATCTTTACTGCACTGGAATCCCCAAGAATTAATTTCACCATCTTCAACATGCAAGGTTTGAGAGATTTTCTCATATTGCGTGAGAGGTTTTTTGCTTGGCAATTTCTAATGCGTCTTCATATTATGCTTGCACTTATGCTGTGTTTTCTCGATGAAAACTTCCTGTTTGATCAAGTCTCTGACGTTTGCAACTAGCTTCACGCCGACGAAAGCTCCATAAATATCATTTTAGTGTGTTACGAATGACTCGTCTTAAAATGGAATTTTAGTTTTGAACGTTTCATAGACTCATGAGTGAGAACAACTTTTCACAGTGCGCATTGTTTCTTTTCTATTTCATTTCCAGTGATGTTAGTAAAGCCGAATTTCAGATATTCTTCTAAATATATAGTTTTTTTTTTTTATTGCTAGGTTTTATTCTACTAGTTATGGCGACCTCCTCCCCCCCCCACCCCCCAAAAAGCTCTTCCCATGCAGTAGATGTTTTGTTTCTGGTTTTCTATACTGGCACCATGAATTGTACAGATCGCACCACCGTATACAAAGTGTGTAATAGACCGCACCATTTAGCACCCGAGCGAGCGATCGACACGCATTGGTAAACATTTGATTTCATCTGGAGCCTAGTGAGTACACAACAATGTCAACGTTTTAGCTTAACTTGGTCTTATTCTAGCCCATATATTGACTAGCCTGGCCCATATATTGACTAGTCTAGCTCATATATTGACTAGTCTAGCCCATATATTGACTAGTCTAGCCCATATATTGACTAGTCTAGCCTAAATATTGACTAGTCCCCCATAAATTGACTAGTCTAGACCATTTATTGACTAGTCTAGCCCATATATTGACTAGTCTAGCCTAAATATTGACTAGTCCCCCATAAATTGACTAGTCTAGACCATTTATTGACTAGTCTAGCACATATATTGAATAGCCTGGCCCAATATATTTACTAGTCTAGCCCATAAATTGACTAGTCTAGACCATTTATTGACTAGTCTAGCACATATATTGAATAGCCTGGCCCAATATATTTACTAGTCTAGCCAATATACATTGACTAGTCTAGACTATATATTGACTAGTCTAACCCATATATTAACTAGTCTGGCCCTTATATTGACTAGTCTGGCCCTTATATTGACTAGTCTAGACTATATATTGACTAGTCTAGTCCATATATTGACTAGTCTGGCCCTTATATTGACTAGTCTGGCCCTTATATTGACTAGTCTAGACTATATATTGACTAGTCTAGTCCATATATTGACTAGTCTGGCCCTTATATTGACTAGTCTGGCCCTTATATTGACTAGTCTAGACTATATATTGACTAGTCTAACCCATATATTGACTAGTCTAGCTCAATAAAATGAATTTGCCAAACACATGACTTAGCTAGTCAAGTTAAGATAAGACCATGTTAAGGTCCTCTACCGTCCTTAACACGCAAAGTCCTCTACCCACCCCAAATTACACGTCCTACACCAGATACACGTCCTACACCAGATACACGTCCTACACCAGATACACGTCCTACACCAGATACACGTCCTACACCAGATACACGTCCTACACCAGATACACGTCCTTTACCAGATACACGTCCTTTACCAGATACACGTCCTATACCAGATACACGTCCTATACCAGATACACGTCCTATACCAGATACACGTCCTATACCAGATACACGTCCTACACCAGATACACGTCCTACACCAGATACACGTCCTATACCAGATACACGTCATATACCAGATACACGTCATACACCAGATACACGTCCTACACCAGATACACGTCCTACACCAGATACACGTCCTACACCAGATACACGTCCTACACCAGATACACGACTTACACCAGATACACGTCCTTTACCAGATACACGTCCTACACCAGATACACGTCCTTTACCAGATACACGTCCTACACCAGATACACGTCCTTTACCAGATACACGTCCTTTACTAGATACACGTCCTACACCAGATACACGTCCTACACCAGATACACGTCCTACACCAGATACACGACCTACTCCAGATACACGTCCTACACCAGATACACGTCCTACACCAGATACACGTCCTTTACCAGATACAAGTCCTACACCAGATACACGTCCTACACCAGATACACGTCCTTTACCAGATACACGTCCTACACCAGATACACGTCCTACACCAGATACACGTCCTATACCAGATACACGTCCTACACAAGATACACGTCCTTTACCAGATACACGTCCAACACCAGATACACGTCCTACACCAGATACACGTCCTTTACCAGATACACGTCCTTTACCAGATACACGTCCTTTACCAGATACACGTCCTACACAAGATACACGTCCTTTACCAAATACACGTCCTACACCAGATACACGTCCTTTACCATACACGTCCTACACCAGATACACGTCCTACACCAGATACACGTCCTACACCAGATACACGTCCTTTACCAGATACACGTCCTACACCAGATACACGTCCTACACCAGATACACGTCCAACACAAGATACACGTCCTTTACTAGATACACGTCCTACACCAGATACACGTCCTATACCAGATACACGTCCTACACAAGATACACGTCCTTTACCAGATACACGTCCTTTACCAGATACACGTCCTACACCAGATACACGTCCTTTACCAGATACACGTCCTTTACCAGATACAAGTCCTTTACCAGATACACGTCCTACACCAGATACACGTCCTTTACCAAATACACGTCCTACACCAGATACACGTCCTTTACCAGATACAAGTCCTACACCAGATACACGTCCTACACCAGATACACGTCCTACACCAGATACACGTCCTTTACCAGATACACGTCCTACACCAGATACACGTCCTACACCAGATACACGTCCTACACCAGATACACGTCCTTTACCAGATACACGTCCTACACCAGATACACGTCCTACACCAGATACACGTCCTACACAAGATACACGTCCTTTACCAGATACACGTCCTACACCAGATACACGTCCTACACCAAATACACGTCCTACACCAGATACACGTCCTTTACCAGATACACGTCCTTTACCAGATACACGTCCTACACCAGATACACGTCCTTTACCAGATACACGTCCTACACCAGATACACGTTCTTTACCAGATACACGTCCTGTACCAGATACACGTCCTACACCAGATACACGTCCTACACCAGATACACGTCCTACACCAGATACACGTCCTATACCAGATACACGTCCTATACCAGATACACGTCCTACACCAGATACACGTCCTACACCAGATACACGTCCTACACCAGATAAACGTCCTACACCAGATACACGTCCTACACCAGATACACCATCTTTACCAGATACACGTCCTGTACCAGATACACGTCCTACACCAGATACACGTCCTACACCAGATACACGTCCTACACCAGATACACGTCCTACACCAGATACACGTCCTACACCAGATACACGTCCTACACCAGATACACGTCCTACACCAGATACACATCCTACACCAGATACACGTCCTACACCAGATACACGTCCTTTACCAGATACACGTCCTACACCAGATACACGTCCTACACCAGATACACGTCCTTTACCAGATACACGTCCTACACCAGATACACGTCCTACACCAGATACACGTCCTTTACCAAATACACGTCCTACACCAGATAACGTCCTACTTCAGATACACGTCCTCCCACCCCAGCACGTGATCATGGACCGGAAGTACATCCCCACCGAGCACCTGACCCAGCACAGCGCCATAGACGGGCACACCATCACCAGCAACCAGGCCCAGCTACTGGAGCAGAGCCTGAGGGAGAGGGCTGGGAGGGAGGCGACACTCACCCAGTTCCCCAGCCTTGACATCCAGCACAGGTAACTTTCGGCTTGTCACGTGATTTGGGCAGCCTAATATCAGGCAACTTCCGGGTTGTCACGTGATTTGGGCAGCTTAATATCAGGTAACTTACGGGTTGTCACGTGATTTGGGCAGCTTAATATCAGGTAACTTTATTTCCGGGTTGTCACGTGATTTGGGCAGCCTAATATCAGGTAACTTACGGGTTGTCACGTGATTTGGGCAGGCTTAATATCAGGTACCTTCCGGCTTGTCACGTGATTTGGGCAGCCTTATATCAGGTAACTTCCGGGTTGTCACGTGATTTGGGCAGCCTTATATCAGGTAACTTCCGGGTTGTCACGTGATTTGGGCAGCCTTATATCAGGTAACTTCCGGTTCCAACCAGCTCTCGCTACATTATTGAAACTGGTGAACTCTACTTTACCTGCCCTATGCACCGTAGAATAATCGCTCGAAAACCCGAAAGTCACGAAATCGTGTCAATATTTACAGATACCTTGGGATATGTGCCAAAATAAATCGTGTCAATATCCACAAATATATCTAGATATGTACCAAAAACTCGTGTCAATATCCACCGATTAGTTGGGATCCGTTCCGAAAATTAATCGTGTCAATATCCACAGGCAAATCGGGATCTATACCAAACCTAAACTGTGTCAATATCCACAGATATATCGGGATCTGAGCCAAACATAAATCGTGTCAATATCCACTGATATATCGGGATCAATGCAAACATAAATCGTGTAAATATCCACAGATATATCGGGATCTATACCCAAAATAAATCGTGTCAATATCCACAGATTTGTCGGTATCTGCGCGAACAAAGGTAACCTGGTGTTCACGGACACACCTGTGGAGGCGCCAGACTACAACATGAGCAGGAGCACCTGCAGCTTTACATACCAGCGTCCCATGCAGCACCCCATGTACAAGACTAGCAAGTGAGTAGGTCAAGGTGACCATTTTATTTAGGTCAAGGTGACAAACCCATGCAGCACCCCATGTACAAGACTAGCAAGTGAGTAGGTCAAGGTGACCATTTTATTTAGGTCAAGGTGACAAACCCATGCAGCACCCCATGTACAAGACTAGCAAGTGAGTAGGTCAAGGTGATCATTTTATTTAGGTCAAGGTGACCAACACATGCAGCACCCCATGTACAAGACTAGCAAGTAAGTAGGTCAAGGTGACCAACCCATGCAGCACCCCATGTACAAGACTAGCAAGTAAGTAGGTCAAGGTGACCATTTTATTTAGGTCAAGGTGACAAACCCATGCAGCACCCCATGTACAAGACTAGCAAGTGAGTAGGTCAAGGTGATCATTTTATTTAGGTCAAGGTGACCAACCCATGCAGCACCCCATGTACAAGACTAGCAAGTAAGTAGGTCAAGGTGACCATTTTATTTAGGTCAAGGTGACCAACCCATGCAGCACCCCATGTACAAGACTAGCAAGTAAGTAGGTCAGGGTGACCAACCAATGTGGGTCAAGGTGACCAACCCATGCAGCACCCCATGTACAAGACTAGCAAGTAAGTAGGTCAAGGTGACCAATTTATGTAGGTCAAGGTGACCAACCCATGCAACACCCCATGTACAAGACTAGCAAGTAAGTAGGTCAAGCTATCATTTTATTTAGGTCAATTTGGCCAACCCATGCAGCACCCCATGTACAAGACTAGCAAGTAAGTAGGTCAAGGTGAACAACCCATGCAGCACCCCATGTACAAGACTAGCAAGTAAGTAGGTCAAGGTGAACAACCCATGCAGCACCCCATGTACAAGACTAGCAAGTAAGTAGGTCAAGGTGAACAACCCATGCAGCACCCCATGTACAAGACTAGCAAGTAAGTAGGTCAAGCTATCATTTTATTTAGGTCAATTTGGCCAACCCATGCAGCACCCCATGTACAAGACTAGCAAGTAAGTAGGTCAAGGTGAACAACCCATGCAACACCCCATGTACAAGACTAGCAAGTAAGTAGGTCAAGGTGAACAACCCATGCAGCACCCCATGTACAAGACTAGCAAGTGAGTAGGTCAAGGTGAACAACCCATGCAGCACCCCATGTAGAAGACTAGCAAGTAAGTAGGTCAGGGTGACCAACCAATGTGGGTCAAGGTGACCAACCCATGCAGCACCCCATGTACAAGACTAGCAAGTAAGTAGGTCAAGGTGACCAATTCATGTAGGTCAAGGTGAACAACCCATGCAGCACCCCATGTACAAGACTAGCAAGTAAGTAGGTCAAGCTATCATTTTATTTAGGTCAATTTGGCCAACCCATGCAGCACCCCATGTACAAGACTAGCAAGTAAGTAGGTCAAGGTGAACAACCCATGCAGCACCCCATGTACAAGACTAGCAAGTAAGTAGGTCAAGGTGATCAACCCATGCAGCACCCCATGTACAAGACTAGCAAGTAAGTAGGTCAAGGTGAACAACCCATGCAGCACCCCATGTACAAGACTAGCAAGTGAGTTGGCCAAGCTGACGAAACCATGTGGGTCAATTTAACGTCCCATTCAGCACCCCAATATAGGTCAAGCTCACCACCCCCATACGGCACACCATGTACAAAAACAGCAAGTAATTTGGTCAAATTGAAGAACCCATGCAGTACCCCATATGATTAAATTGATAATCCCATGTTGCACCCCACATAGGTCGGGTTGACTAATCAATGCAGCCCCCCCCCCCCCCCCCCCATTGTATGTCAAGCTGGCAAACATCACCACACATACAAAACCAGCACATCAGCCAATGCTCATTAAACACCACGTCTCAAAATGTAAAAACCAGCACGTTAGTTATATTTTTCGTGAACAACGTACTTACACCTCTCATCTGTCTGTCTGTCTGTCTGTCTGTCTGTCCAGCGGTCAGTACGGCAGGAAACCCTGGCTGTCCAACACACCCATCGTCTTCTTCCCACGTGACCAGGAGTTCTCCACCCGGCAGGCGGTGGGCGGGGTCTACGAGGACACCCACCTGACCACAGAGATGGACAAGAAGATCATTGATGACGTCACCCACAAGTCGCAGTAGCTATGACGTCAGAGGGAAAAACGGGTGTGAGGGTGGTAGATTATATACAATGTTTTTATACATTTGAGTTTTATATTATATTATTTGATAAAAGATAATTTAGCTGATGTTTTCAGTGAATTTGAAAAGTGTTTAAACGGTTAATAGTTTTTTTTTATTAATTGCAAGGAATTTTTGTTTAGTCTGAGCAAGGCTCAACACTAGCTCAGCTAATTATGTTTCTGGCATGTGGGAGAGTTTGTTTGATGGTCTGCTTGACATGAGCTCACGTATGTATTGGTAGTGTAATGTATGTATTACTGGTGTCACGTATATATCGATGGTGTCACGTAAATATTACTGGTGTCATGTACGTATCGGTGGTGTCATTATGTTCTTATAATTTTCTCCTGCTGTTAAAATTTATTGTTTCAGTTTTCCGACGTATCTTTCTGTCCCAATTTACCTCAGGTCATATTTTTTAAGATATAATATCTTTTTCACTGTACCGTATCTTAGTGACGTATATTATCAAAATTCTAAAATTAACTTTATACAATAAAAATCTCTTTATTAAAAGTGATTTATAATCACTAGAGTTGTTGAGTGTTATTTGTAAAGTCAGTATTGTCAGTAATATCAGTAAAGTCAGTACTGTTATTCAGTTATCAGACGATTCATAAAAGTCAGGAATGATAGTAAAGTCAGTAATGTTTGTGAATTAAGAAAAAGTTAGTAAAGTCAGTAATGATAGTGAATCGAGTAATGCCATAAACGTTATTAACTCAGTAAAGTGAGTAATGTCACAAAAGTTAGACATTTCATTAAAGTCAATAATGTTAGTGAACTGAGAAGAAAATTCCCATTGAATCTCTACAAGTAACACACACCGTACAAGGATTGGTAAGACGAAGACACAATGGCGCTTCCTTTGATAAATCAAATCTAAGGTCAAGGTTCGTCCTAAACTTGTACAGTAAACAACGTAAAAAGTTATCAATGAACAGAAATTCACCTCTCACTAGACAAGGATTATGACAATCATATTCTCATAAATACGCGAAGTATTTTTTAGCCGCCAGTAGGGAGAAAAACAGTTTTACGCAGGGGAAGTAATCGCAATTTTCTTCTTTCCATCGTATAAGATTAGGTTGTCTCCTATAAGGGTAAAGATGTTGATCTCATCAGGTCATGTGTTTTTATTCAACAGTGACACCGTGCGCTACCTCATACATACTCTTTTAGATACCCTGCACCCTACACTTTCATACTCTCCATGGGGCCCTACACTCTGTCACCCTACACTCCATGTCACCCTACACTCCATGTCACCCTACACTCCATGTCACCCTACACTCCATACCACCCTACACTCCATACCACTCTACACTCCATACCACCCTACACTCCATACCACCCTACACTCCATGTCACCCTACACCCCATACCACCCTACACTCCATACCACCCTACACTCCATGTCACCCTACACTCCATGTCACCCTACACTCTGTCACCCTACACTCCATGTCACCCTACACTCTGTCACCCTACACTCCATACCACCCTACACTCCATGTCACCCTACACCCCATACCACCCTACACTCCATACCACCCTACACTCCATGCCACCCTACACTCCATGCCACCCTACACTCCATGTCACCCTACACTCTGTCACCCTACACTCCATACCACCCTACACTCCATGTCATCCTACACCCCATACCACCCTACACTCCATACCACCCTACACTCCATGCCACCCTACACTCTGTCACCCTACACTCCATGCCACCCTACACTCCATGTCACCCTACACTCTGTCACCCTACACTCCATGCCACCCTACACTCCATGTCACCCTACACTCCATACCAGCCTACACTCCATACCACCCTACACTCCATACCACCCTACACTCCATGTCAGCCTACACTCCATACCACCCTACACTCCATACCACCCTACACTCCATGTCACCCTACACTCCATACCACCCTACACTCCATACCACCCTACACTCCATGTCACCCTACACTCCATGTCACCCTACACTCCATACCACCCTACACTCCATGCCACACTACACTCCATACCACCCTACACTCCATGCCACACTACACTCCATACCACCCTACACTCCATACCACCCTACACTCCATACCACCCTACACTCCATGCCACACTACACTCCATACCACCCTACACTCCATGCCACACTACACTCCATACCACCCTACACTCCATGTCACCCTACACTCTGTCACCCTACACTCCATGCCACCCTACACTCCATACCACCCTACACTCCATACTACCCTACACTCCATACCACCCTACACTCCATACCACCCTACACTCCATGTCACCCTACACTCTGTCACCCTACACTCCATACCACCCTACACTCCATGCCACACTACACTCCATACCACCCTACACTCCATGTCACCCTACACTCTGTCACCCTACACTCCATGCCACCCTACACTCCATACCACCCTACACTCCATACTACCCTACACTCCATACCACCCTACACTCCATACCACCCTACACTCCATGTCACCCTACACTCTGTCACCCTACACTCCATGCCACCCTACACTCCATACCACCCTACACTCCATGCCACACTACACTCCATACCACCCTACACTCCATGCCACACTACACTCCATACCACCCTACACTCCATGCCACACTACACTCCATACCACCCTACACTCCATGTCACCCTACACTCTGTCACCCTACACTCCATGCCACCCTACACTCCATACCACCCTACACTCCATGCCACACTACACTCCATGCCACCCTACACTCCATACCACCCTACACTCCATGCCACCCTACACTCCATACCACCCTACACTCCATGCCACACTACACTCCATACCACCCTACACTCCATGCCACACTACACTCCATACCACCGTACACTCCATGTCACCCTACACTCCATACCACCCTACTCCATGTAACCCTACACTCTGTCACCCTACACTCCATGTCACCCTACACTCCATGTCACCCTACACTCCATACCACCCTACACTCCATACCACCCTACACTCCATACCACCCTACACTCCATACCACCCTACACTCCATACCACCCTACACTCCATACCACCCTACACTCCATGTCACCCTACACTCCATACCACCCTACACTCCATACCACCCTACACTCCATGTCACCCTACACTCCATGTCACCCTACACTCCATGTCACCCTACACTCCATACCACCCTACACTCCATACCACCCTACACTCCATACCACCCTACACTCCATGTCACCCTACACTCCATACCACCCTACACTCCATGTCACCCTACACTCCATACCACCCTACACTCCATACCACCCTACACTCCATGTCACCCTACACTCCATACCACCCTACACTCCATACCACCCTACACTCCATACCACCCTACACTCCATACCACCCTACACTCCATACCACCCTACACTCCATGTCACCCTACACTCCATGTCACCCTACACTCCATACCACCCTACACTCCATACCACCCTACACTCCATGCCACACTACACTCCATACCACCCTACACTCCATGCCACACTACACTCCATACCACCCTACACTCCATGTCACCCTACACTCTGTCACCCTACACTCCATGCCACCCTACACTCCATGCCACCCTACACTCCATACTACCCTACACTCCATGCCACCCTACACTCCATACCACCCTACACTCCATGCCACACTACACTCCATACCACCCTACACTCCATGCCACACTACACTCCATACCACCCTACACTCCATGCCACACTACACTCCATACCACCCTACTCCATGTAACCCTACACTCTGTCACCCTACACTCCATGTCACCCTACACTCCATGTCACCCTACACTCCATACCACCCTACACTCCATACCACCCTACACTCCATATCACCCTACACTCCATACCACCCTACACTCCATACCACCCTACACTCCATGTCACCCTACATACCATGTCACCATACACTCCATACCACCCTACACTCCATATCACCCTACACTCCATACCACCGTACACTCCATACCCCCCTTCACTCCATACCACCCTACACTCCATGTCACCCTACACTACATAATATTGAATACTCCACATAGTGACACCATACAATCCATGACACCCTACACTCTACACTTTGTGACACCCTACACTCCATTTTATTTTAACTGACATTCTGACATGTAAAATACATTTGGTTACATCTTTAAAAATTCTGCTTTCACAATGTCAACTTGCATTGTATGACTTAAAAATATCGAGAGACCAAATCTAGAGCTGTTGGAAAGCTAATTGTTAAAATGTCTGAAATCTGATTATAAAAAACTGTAATGAGTAAAATTATGGAAAAAAATCTTTTAGAATAGCGCCGAACCAGTCGAACTCGTTACATCCGTGATAGATTTTTTTACAATAATTGTTATGTTTTTTTGTTGGTTTTTGTGTGTTTACATATTGCTGACGTTGAAAGCTGAACCTGACACATACAGGAACTATGGAGCCAAATTGTATGTCAGACTACGATTTAGTGGAAGAGAACATTATGTAATGTAAAATAACTTGAGGATTTTAAACTCTTGTTGTTTTGTAAAGACAATTTGAAGATGGTGGACATTGCGATGTCATTTATAAGCAGATAGATGGTTTAATTTATAATTTACTGGACATTGTGAAAATATTTTGAACATGCTGGACATTGTGACGACAAAATATTTGTATATTATGCTGAAATGTCGTTTGCCAGAAAAAGAGAGTTGTATCAAAAGATATGTTAAAATATATTTATTTGTGTTGTGTGTGTGAGCATGTACCTTTGTGTGTATGTGTTTGACCCAATTAATTTTGTTCCCTTGGTAACATACTATGTATGATCATGCTACTCAATGTGCCAATTACATATTTTTATGAATGTCTAAAGAAAATCTATAGTTTTACCAGGGTTCAACCCTTCCCCAACCCCCACCCCTAAAATTTAGGCCCACCCCATCCCCAACGAAAATTTTAAGTGCCCCCTCCCCCCCCCCCCTCTTCCTCGGAAAAAAGTCTGAAAGAAAGAAACTGTGTGCAAGTATGCTAATGTTGACCTTT